AGACAGAGCCCCCCTCACTCCCACGCCCTTTGCTCTGGGGTCTTCAGTTTCTCATTTGGGGTGGGTACCCGCCAACCCCTGGGACTCTGCAGGCCCCCGCACGGCGTGTCTGTGACTGAGTGGCTACTAGGATGTGGGTCTCACGGCCTTCAGAGCTGCGGGTGCAGGTGGAACAGTGTGGGCTTGTGGTCGGTGTCACTGGGCTCAGCGCAGCTGTCCTTGCGATTCCCTGACTTAATACATCGGGGCCGAAAGGGGCGTGGACCCGGGTGGCCGTGGTCCTCGGGAGGGGGTTGTTGGGAATTCGGCAACTTTCAAACACTGGAGATGGCACATTTAAAACGCCAGACCCGGGCTTCCTTCACAGCTGGAACACAGGCCCGTGGCCCAGTGGGCATGTCTGCTGGGACTGGACGTGGCCTCCGGGGCTGGGCTGGTGTTTCCTGCCCGCCTGCCTCTGGCAGCTTCCGAGCTTGCCCCTCTTGGAGCGGGGTCTTGGGCCTCAGCTTGGTGTGATGTGTTCCTCTGCCTCGGAACACTGTCACTGTCCCTTGGGGGTCCCTGGGTCTGAGAGTGAGCGCCTGAGAGGGGTGGCAGGAGCTGTGCTTACTTCCAGAACAGCACGAAGTCCACATCCCCACCGTCCCTGGTCTGGATGGAGTGGAGAGCAAGCCTCAGAGGGTCGGCCGGAGAGACCAGGTTTGCGTGGCTGGCTGACAGCTGCAGGGTGAGCCAGCGCCCCTCCACCTGCAGGGGTGCGGGCCAGGGTGGGAGAGGCCGGCTAGTGCCCAGTCGTGTGGCACCCCACCACCTGCAGGGGTACGGGCTGGGGCAGGAGAGGGCTAGTGCCTGGCCGTGTGGCACCCCCTCCACCTGCAGGGGTGCGGGCTGGGGCGGGAGAGGCTGGCTAGTGGGCACCAGTGGGCCACCCTCTGAGCTCTCAGGCCCCAGCTCTGGCACTGAGCATGGTCACCAGGAGGTCGTGCCCCTCCCAGGGGGCTGCATTGGCAAACGTTCCCTCTTCCTGGTCTATATTGGCAAATGCCCATCTGTGGGTCCAGGTGGAGGATAAGCCGTGCTTCCTTCTTGGGAAGAGTCACCTCCCGTCCCCTTCTCTCAGATCTCTGTCCAATCCCCTTCCCCACGTGCTACCCTCACTTCCCTCAGCCCCGCACCCCTGCCTCTGCCTGATCCAAGCTCTGTTCCCCTGGCCAGGGAGGGTAGAGGGGAGGGTCTGGCTCTGCGCTGGGCGTCCCTCCATCCCTGCACTCCTACCAGCAGCACCAGGACCCCAGGGGCCACACAGGGAGGAGGAACTGGGACCCTCCCTGCACCCGGGGCTGGCCTCTTCGTGTCACCCAGGGTGAACCCTTCCCCTGCTCCCTGCCTGGGCCCAGCGTCTGGGTGCTCTGCTTCACTGGACGCCGCCCTGCAGCCTTCTCCTGAGACTGCTGTTGTGCTGCGGCTTCCACAGCCAGGAGAGAGGGAAGCGCCCCGAGGTTAATCAGTGGCCGCTGGTTCCCGCTGTGCAGGAGGACAGAGCCCGTTCCTGCCTCGGTTGGACCCAGGCTCAGGTGCAGCTCACCCTCCAGAGCTGCTGCAGGGTCAGGCAGGGCCCAAACCCCAGTCCCCAGCCTGGCCATTCCAGGCTGACCTGAGAGGAGCATGCTCACCCTGGGCCTGCTGATGAAGCCTCAGAAAGACGCTGCCCAAACCAGGGCCAGCCTCCCCCGCCCGCCTTTGGAGCCTCCCGATGGGTGGGCATTCATGCAAAGCCTAACCGACCCTTGGCAGGACTTTGGCGCGAACGCTGACGTGCACAGTGAAGCTTATGAGAGGGGCAGGCACTCAACTAAGCTCTTTCCTGTTATTACCTGACTCTGTCCTCAGAGCACCCTGCACAGGACTGTGTGCATCCCTGCCCCCTCTCCATCTTTGGAGAAGAAAACAAGGCATCAGTGGGTGTTGACTTGGGACGAACCCACCATCCCATGGTGGGGGCGGTGCGTCACTCCTAGAGTTACACCCTGCCAGACACAGGCCAGGTAGCCCCCCTTGAGTGTCTATCTAGGAACCCTGGGGCCAAAGCCAGTGGTCACCCTGAGGGCCCAGACGGGTTACTCCTCAAACCAGACCCCAGACTCCCTCGAAGCTGGAAACCTACGGGGCCGGGCAGGCCTCCTCCTCGCCCCATGCAGAGCCCCAGGCAGGAGGAGGGGAGGGCGGGGGGGGTGGGGTACAGAGGCAGGCACCACATGTCGAGGCGCTGGCCAGGCATCTCTGCAGCTGCAAGCAGGGAAGGAGGGACGTGGGAAGGGGCAGACCCACAGGCTTTGTGGCCGTGGGAGATCCGCAGCTTAATCCAGATCCGGCAAAGAGAGGACCCAAGGCGGGTGAGCAGGCAGCACCCTGACCCTCAACCCCACGCTTGGCCTCTGGACACGCGGAGCAGGAGGATGGGCAGGAGAGAGGCTCATGGCCTGGGCTGGGAGTGGCTCAGCCGTTGGGAGAGAGGAGCTGGATTGGGAAGACGTTGCACGTAAAGCAGAGAAACAAGGACAGGATGCCCCGAGGGGCTCATTGCCAGCCGCGGCCGAGGCCGATCCCAGGGCTGGTCTTCGTCACCCCTCCCACCCTCCCCACACCAGGCAGGCGCACCCCCCCCTCACCCCCCACGACCAGGCAGGCCCCACCCTCCACTCACCCCCGACCCCTCCCCACCACCCAGGCAGGCTCACCGTGAGCAGGAGGATGAACAAGGATGCTGAGACGTGATCCTGGCATTCGTGGCTCCAGCAGCCGGTGGCACAAACAACTGGGGGCCAGGGGGCCTGGGAAGGAGGGCTGCAGGCCTGAATGAGCCCAATCTCCCTCTGCCCTCTTCCCACCCCCTCAGGCCACAGCCTCCTCCCAAAATCCAGAACAGATGTGCAATGCAGTTAAACTGCGCCCCGACAGCCACCCACACCCAGTCCAAACCACAAGCATTCCATCACTTTAGACCGGGCGGTGCGGGGAGGGGCGTCATTCCTGGGGTAGGGTTGCGGAAACTTGGAACTTTTAGGTGGCAGGGGAAGGTGGGGTGGGGTCTGGCAGCACAGGAGGAGGGAGCGGTTGGGGGCACTCTCCCTTCCCCGGAGTCATGCGCTGGAGAAAGCCCTCCTCCTGCTGCTGGCCCTCGGCTGGGCCTGGGGGTGCCCAGAAGGCTCTGGAAGAAGTGCCGGTACAGCCAGACTTTGATGCACAGAAGGTAAGGTCATGGTCCAGTCCACCAGACTCAGGCTGGAACACGGGCTGGGGATGACACGTGGAGTGTCACATGAGGAGGTCAGGGGGTGGGGGCAGGTGGGC